GGACTAATTGATAGGTTAGTTTGGATTTGGCAGCCATTCGACTGAGACGTGTTTCGTTATTTTCGCTAAGATGGAAAAAGAGCAGTATCGTTCTGTAGCTCGCTTTTTGTTTTTGGATGGGAAAAAATGCGAGGAGATGAAAACAAAGTTGGATACTGTTTATGGAGACATTTCGTCATCTATGACCACAGTTAGATATTGCTTTAACGAATTTAAACGTGCGCAAAGATCCGTTTTTGATAGGAGCGACCAGGAAGCCTGGCAACGTTGTTGGGGAAATCATTTTACGGATTTTTTAGGAAAAGGAAGAACGATCACTGGACAATACTACAGTGAATTATTGGACCGCTTCGACAAAAAATTGAAGGAGACACGGACGCATTTGACGAAAAAGAAGGTGCGTTTTCNTGTCATCATGGGAATCTCTATCACTGTCAGCAACATCATCAATTAGTTCTTCTGTTTGCCTGTCTATTACTTGCTCACTGATCCCTATTTTTAAATATTTAAACTACGTCCCTGGTAGGAATACTGAAGAATGAGGGCTGCAATTTTTGTACCTAAAACTGCCTACTTTTGCCACCGCGCATCCACGCCATTTTAAAATTTCCGCCAGCTTCCAGCGTCAGGGCTGTAGATGATTAGAAACGGTATAAGATTGAGAGGAACGGAGGTTTATAAATAAAAGATGATATAACTATGGAAGAGAGAAGAATACAGAAGATGTTGGAACAAAAATGGTAAAAGTTCAAGAAGATAATAATAGATGAAGTGAATATAGAACGAAGAAAAAGCAAAAATGATAAAAAGAAAGAAAACTGGCATTTCGTAGGAAATAAGAAGAGGGTTGAGAAGTAGTTATTATTGTGAGGGGAATAGGGTATATAAGGATAGACAGGTGGATGGAAATTGAAAGAAGATTAGTATAAATACGTAGAATGAAGGAGGTATAAAAATCGTTGTATATAAAAGTTTGGAATAGTTTTAAATGCGACATTTATTTTGAAGGTTGTTTTATATTATGTTATTGGTATAAGAATATAAAAATAACTTAAGGTTACAATAAAGTTACTAAAGTAAGAGATATTTTGGGATAAGAATTTTCGCAGTTACGTATTTTTCTTAAAGCCATAAAAAGAACATCATTGTATTGTCGCATGTAAATTAGTTCCCGCTAGGTACATGTAAAACAGGCGGTGACAACGTCCATAAAAATTTTCCGCCTTAAATTTTCCCTCTGGTAGTCGCTTAATATGCTACAATGTTTATGCTCTGATTCGTCTGGCAAATTCTGGGAAATTCTTTTTCATTAGAGCGAAAGTCCGAACGAAACGGAACGAAATCGGCTCATCGTCATTTGCTGGGGTTCCAATTTCACTAGCGTTATCAACTTGGTGAACGAAGGCCGTAAAGTTGGAAATTATGGTGAATTGGCAACACTTTTAATATTTCGCGGAGCGAAACGGCCCAGAAGAAGGGGGACCATAAAACACAGGCGCTTGCAATGAGTTACGTATAGGGGCAGATTGGCGAAAGGTTAATGGCTAGATTCGGCAATAAACCGGCTAAACTTAATTTGCGACTAGCGCAGCGGCATATAGAAGAGGAGCAGGACCTCGTTTGTTTTCGAATTGGTTTTCGACGTAGTCAAACATTCAACATTACATTCGACGATGTAAGATTGCCTCGTTTGTTATAGAAAATTGGAATTCATTTCCATTTGTTCAGGTCGAAAACATTATCGGTTGTCAGAAGTATTTTTGATTTGTGTGGGGAAATTTCAGGTCATACACATACTTATAACAAATATACTTTCACTGATTTATTACGTACTGTTATCGACTAAACTAGATGTTACAAATGTGAATTTAATGGTACTATAGTTGCGACGTTTAGAATTTGCATAGTCTGCATCATCATAGAAAGGAGATGTCAGGTAGGAATTGTAGCGGACACTATTAAAGAAAAAAGAATAACATTATACTAATTGATGTGTAACAGAAAGAGATGTAGCCAAGCAGAATTTGAGCATGTTGCCAGCATCGGACTTTAAAAAAAGTTCAACATTCTCAGGAATTGAAGAAAGCAAAGTGTTCGGCAGTATTTTACCTTTTTTTTATGCATATTATTATTAATTCCTAAATGAAGTAGTAAGTAAAATTTAACTAATATTTATTTTCAAATATTCCGATTTTTTCCTCTTTCATTATTTGAAGCAAAAGAAGTACGTTTTTTAAGCTAAACAAACTAACATTTTGTACCTGTTTTTATGACCATTTGAACCCTCAGCTTTCAATGTGTATGTTTTTAACGGCAAAGATTCTAAGAATTTCACCCCCTTTAGAAATTTTTGTCACCGAAGGAGAAAGTCGGAGTACCAGTTTTTAGGAGTGTAAGTAAGTACGTTTTAAGAGATTGACCAAGCTGTCTCGCCGAGACAGTACCAACCAACCAACCAATTATTACCACCAAAATTATTTTTGTATATAGTTTTGTATATATATTCAATTTAATAAATAGTGATTATCTTTAGTTAGAGACATCACATTCGGAAATTATTGAAGTGACCCAATTACCTATTAAGTTTACACTTTCGATAATTTACGAAAAAACACAAAGGAATAATATTTCCCTATTCGCTACATCTCTTACTATTATTCGCTTATCTCGTTTCACTTTGTCTGCATCCTCATGAAGCATTTCCTTACATAACAAGTGTGTGTTCAAAACGCAGCAAAAGACTACAGTCCCAAGTGGAAACAAGAAAAAAGATATTTCCATTCTCACAGATAATTTATTACAACTTTGATCGTCTCAATTTTATTAAAGATCTTATAATAATTAAAAATTAAAAGGAAGACTAACCCCTAATTACCACAAAAAAAAACTTTACTTGAGCGGTCACGTGTTGCGCCCACTTCATACGTGGGCATTATCAACGCGAGACTGTGTAAATTGCCTAATTTTCTGCATTTTGATTTTTATATTAGAGTCCTACAGTATATCTTATATTTCTTTTCAAATATTTCGAAGTTCTGTATCTCAGAAAGTAAAATAGACCAGACCATGTCTTAAAAGCTAAAAATTAAAATTTTTTGCAGCACTTACTAATGTAGGGTGCATTATGGGCTAATCGTAAGGACTAAAAAAAAATTTCTCCATACGGGCGCGAAACGTTGACGGGGGTGACGCGGAAAAGAAACAAGTTGTATGGTGTAGTGGGACAAAAAACTAGGGAATGAGAAGAAATTCATTTGATTTTTACTTCAAAAAAATTTTGATGTATAGGGTTGTACGAATGATGAAAATATTGTATCGTAGATAAAAAGGCTAGAAGACCCCATACGGAATAGGACATATGGGATGGTAGAACACCTCTTGAGACATAAATGACAGAATTTTAGACCATAATGAAGATTATGTTTTCTCCTGAATTTTATTTTTTTGTAGAAGCCGAGGTATATGAATATGCATGTTATTACTAATTTATCTATTCAAAAGCAGCTTATGATTATTTAATTTAATCGTTTTTTTGTTTTTCTGTTTATGAAATACGTAAAGTGGATATAGGTACAACATTTGAGATTATCTATGCTATTGTTTTTGTCGAAAATTCTTAGTCACGTCCGTCGATTAAATCTGATCATCAGTGAGCGAGCACGTTTTCGAATTTTACTGCATTTAGTGTAGACACCTATATAAGCTTAGTTTGTATAATTAGTCCGCTCTCCGCGCAATTTTGCTTTTACTGTGTCCTCTATGTTTACAAGCTTTTTGTAATGTGTTGATAACGAAAACCTATTTCGTTAATACTATAACTGAATAGACCGAAATGATACATCACATTGACCTGCCTATTATTGTTTAAGAAAACGTTAATTGTGTGTAGAAATGAGAACCCTGCGCTATCATCTGCTTTATATCCCTACTACTTCTTTCGTCCTGACTTATCTGACTTCCTAGATACCTAAAATCAGCCAATTCTAATTTTTCGTCTCCTATCTTTATATTCGCTCTTTCCCTACTTTTTCTTCCCTTGCATCCCAATATTTTTGTTTTACTTTTATTTATTTTCATACAATGCTGTTTTGTCAATACCGCTTCCATTTTATTTAAAGCTATCTCTAACTCCTCCTTGCTAGATGCTAATACTGCTATATCTTCTGCAAATCTAAGCATACTAATCTTTTGCCCCTGTGTATCTATCCCTGCAGTTGTACTGACTTTAATGATGTTGATGGCGACTTCGATGTATATATTAAATATTATTAAATATTATGTAGCAGTGACAGTGTGCATCCCTGTCTGACTACCTTCATATTATTTACTACTCTACGTTGCAGCCCAGGTTTATAACTGCCTATTGCTCTTTATACAAACTAAGTATCACTCGTCTATCTCTATAACACATCCCTACATTTTTAAGTATATTTAACATCTTGTCACATTTAACATTGTCAAAAGCTTTCTCTAAATCTACAAATCTTATGTACGCACTCTTTCCTTTTTCTATCGTTTTCTTTATTGTTACCTATGAAGATAGAATGGCCTCCCGCGTTCCTCTATTTCTTCTAAACCCAAATTGATCTTCCCCGAATAGATCTTCCGCCCCTTTTTCGATCCTTCTCTGTACAATTCTAGTTAAGATTTTTGACGCATGGAAAGTTAAGCTAAATGTTCGAAATATCTCGCACCTATCCGCGCCCCTCTTCTTAGGTAATGTTACTACTACGTTCCGTTTATAATCCTCTGGGACTTTCCCCGTTTCGTAAATGTGACTAACTAGCTTAAACATACGATCTCTAACCTCTTGTCCTAGAAGAATTTTAGAAGAATTTCCCCATGTATCCCATCTATACCTGGCGCCTTGTTATTCTTTAAGTTTTAAGATTAGTCTAACATAACAAATATTTTAGCATCCCATACCTGTTATGAATATATTGCTTATAAAAGTACGTTGTTAATCAGGGTGATCTAATAGCCGTGTTTATTTGTTACAGCATCTACCTATTCATGACGAAAGATTGCCGCCTATAATGTTTGCTCGGTAAGTAGAAAAATAGTTAGTTACGTATTATAAATACATTTTTCGTTCAATTTAAAGTAGGGGTATCACCTTAACGTTGAAATGGCACGAAAAAGAATTTACTAATTCAATCTAGGAAATATACACAAATAAACAATTAATTAGAACAAACAGAATAGCTCAAAACCCCAACGCCAAAACACGACACTGTAGTTGTCCGAAGCACTTTTCGGTAACAACTACAGTGTCGTGTTTTGGCGTTGGGGTTTTGAGCTATTCTGTTTGTTCTACAACAACCGCCAAAGTTTTTCCAATCTTCATATAAACAATTAATGATTTATTTATCCAAAATTATTTAATATACCATGAATATAAATGCACGTTACCAAATAGATAACTTTGTTTATTTTTTCGTAATTTATGGAAGATCTTTTTTGAAATTTTTGGTGTCCGATGCATCCGCCATTAATTGCTGTTATATGTCTTTGAATTCAAAACTGAAAAATTGCTTTGTTTTCATCAATAATAAGGGAAATCCACATAGATAATTGGAACTTTCAAGAAAAACCGAATTATCGAAGATGTCTAAAAAAATTTTAAAAAACAATTGTCCAACGTTATAAAATGTTTAAGAACATTCTCGAATATTCCACTACTGTCCATACTCTTTCTAAATTCTTCGTCATTACGGCTAGTTAAACGTTAAAAACTGTTTAATAATACTGAGATTTATTTTCACTGCGTGCATGTGGTGCAAGAGATATTAAAAAGTAGTTCGTAAGTTGTAATTAATTGATACATCTAAGTATTTTAGGAGACTTTTTGACATCGTACACTTATTTGAAAATTGGTATACAATAAACGACAAAATAATAGCAAATAATTAATATTTTTCCGATAGCGGTCAGTAGTATTTTGACTCTTTAAGGAAAGGGTTGGACGTCGTCGTATCGGCTTGATGTTTACGGATGCCTATCAGAATCCGCCTGCCTTTGAACAAGCTAAGACGTTTTGCATTAATCTTTCCCCCTTTTTCCCAGAAGTGAAAGGAAACAAGGGAGGTTACGGTCGCCTGTTAGCGCTGCACGAATACATAACTTTAAGCAGAGACGGCGCGACGGAAGAACGGCGGCAACGACGTTCGGTAAAGCGCCGCAGCGCCGCGACGTAGACATTGGCAGAGCGGCGTTCAGTTCAAAATAACATTTCTGCTACTGCCTTGTTGTATGTTTGATCGGGTCGATTCATATTCACGATTCGTTTTTAACGCTTTTCAGAAAGTTCACAGGGAAAGTTCTCAGGAGAAATTATACCATTTGGCGGATCTATGTATAATATATATCTACTTCTTCTTTCGGAGATTTTCTTGACAAGTCGGAAAGAAGATTCATGGAAATTTTGATATTGGCGTATCAAAAATTAAAGAAGTACCTACTTCTAAAAATAGCAAAATTATTTATAACTAGCTTTTCCCCACGGCTTCGCTAGCAGAACTTAATATTGCTTCTCCATAAAACCTTTTAACTCCCAATTCACCCCTACAAAGTTTTAATTTTCTGTAATGTAGCCCTTTTAGATTCCAAATACAAACGTAGCAACAACAACAGTTCATCCTTAAGGGTTTATTTTTAACAATTCCCAAAAACCCGTATTTGCTTAATTTCAACAACGAGTATTAAGAGCAACCTTCGAGTAAATATGCCTTATGGAAACCTTACAACCTCTTTTCATTTGATTAATTATATCAAAGAACATAAATGCCAAGTTTCATGTAAATTTAACCACAAATAAAATATGTCCCAAATAAAAATTGCAACCCCCCTTTGGAGGTTGAATTTTTTAAAATGCCAAGATACATATTAAATGAGAGAGCATTAAGACCAAGTTTCAAATAAATCTAGCACCAAATAATATAAGTCCCATTTAAACATTGCAACTGCTTTTCACCACTCCGTCACCCATAGAGGTTGAATTTTTTAACCAAATTTTAAGTAAGTCTGACAAAAAACAAAAATGTTCCGTGCAATCTTTGCAAGTCCCTTTCAGCTTCCTGCAGCAGTTGAAATAGTTATATAGATCACTAATTTTATATGAAAGAGCATTAAAGCCAAGTTTCAAGTAAATCTGATTATAAATAAAATATCTAGTATATAAACGTTACAACCACTTTTCACTTATTTCAGAGGTCGATTTTTCTAAAATGCTGAAATAGGTGTTTGGTTCTATGCCAATGAGCATAAATATCAACTTTCATGTAAATCTGACTAAAAATAAAAATGTCAAAATTTATAACATGAAGGTTTTTCCATATAAAAATATTATCTAAATTTCCGGATTTTCTCGTGTATTTTCCAAAAATTTTCTTTCACACAAACCTTGTCCTGTCAATTACAAATACAACAAAACATAAATCAGTCAAATCGGTTGAGCACTTGGCAGTTCCCTAGAATTGACAGCTAGGAATAGTTTGAATTTGATTTTTACGTTTTTCTGGGCAATTTTCCAATTTTTCTCTTCATAAGAACCTCAGACATCAAGGAATATCTATATATATGCTGCACCACCACTAATAACCCTTAATTCGGCCAACCCCTCTTTTGCGCTTAGCAACACATTTAGCGATCTATTTTTACATATATAAGTATACAGTCATACTTCCCTAACCTAACGTAACCTTCTACCACCGCCAATAACCCTCAATTCTAAAATCCACCGAGACCGCATCCAATCCGGGTACCCGGTCCATCTGTAATTTGGTTTCATAGTAGGTGAACAATCAGACTGAAATGTTCGTGATTATTTTTAAATAGAAACAAATTTGGAAGGCAAGTCATTTTTATTTCTAATAGATAAAAATAGAATCAATTGAAATATATTTATCTAAACCGCTACAATTTCAGTAAAACGTTGTGCATAATTTACTTAATAGTTACCTATTCATAAATCAAGTTTTAATTTTATGTTTTCGTGTTTAAGCGGTTATGGAAACTATCAAACCTGTGTGTTTATTTTGTAGTCGGTTTCGTGCATTGTGCGATCTCATTGATGATGTTAATAAGGAAATTCGCTGCTAAATTATTACCTTAATAATCTAGCGTACATACTGATGTTTATGTTATAGAAAGGGTGGTTTTAATATACCCAACCACTAAGTGTAAGCATATTATGGAAAGTAAATGTTTACGAATAAACTTAAAGCAACAACGTAATTTATATTTGCCAACGGCAGTTTGCCTAATACAAGAGCTGAAGTGCTACTTAACACACAAATTTTTTTAATAAAGCATTAATGAAAGTGTTTAATAAATTACACTACTTTTTGGTGGTATTTGCCATAAGCGGTTTTGATTAAACTTAGGTTATTAATTATTCTATTTATTTACACCAATGTTGATATATCACTATTCACTGCGCTATTTATTTCACAGCTATTCCTGTCAATTTATTTCTCGATTCATTTCTGCAACGGTCAATTTATTTCTACTCCCTCGGCGATCGTCTCTTCCTTTAAATACTCTTTTGTTTACTTTCGGAAACCTTCTGGAACGTCCGGATAGTTAATTTTTTTCTTTAAACTGTTTAACTGCTTTCCCAGAATGCAGGTACGACACATACATTTACAAATACGGCGCACATGAAGAAAGGTGCCCACGGGTAGTCGGCGAATCGATAAGCCATTCACGCACACGTGTGCCTGATCGCACACAAACACACTCGTGCTCGCTACATTATCATATTGGAATTTTGTCTTAATAAGTTACATAGCAGCATAGGCTAACACCACGAAATGAATTTGCTATTTGTTTACTATTTCATGGCAATAAATAACAATATGGAGTACATAATGAACCATTCAAAATAAAATATTCATACTGATGGATAATAACAAAAGAAACATCTATCAAATGTGGTGTGTTGGATAAAATAAACATCAAAAGTTAATTAGATTCTGTTGCATTTTGGATTAATTTAATATATGAAAGCACAATGATATAATAATTAATGCCTATTCATACGCCGCCACTGTTTTAATACACCCGACCACTAAACGGATGTTACGTAATGTAGATGCTTCAGGCATAAATTTAAATCAGCAACACAATTTATAATGTCTGGTATACTCCGTAAACATTTGTTAATAAAATATGAAAAAAGAGCTTCCAAAAGTTGAATAGATTGAACGGAATAGGTAAGGAATTTACAAAGAAAGAGAATAAATGAAAATGGAGGAATTTTTGTTTTCAATTGTCGTCTTGGAACTATACAATCCAACAATTATAAAAACACTATAGTTTAGTCTGTTCCAATTTGTACAGATGATAGGTACCATTATCGATGGTTTAGTTACAGACCATTGTCATATGCAATCTCCTGAGATAAAAATGTTCAGTCTCTCAGAGTCTCTGAAAGCGAGACTCGAGTCTCCGTCTCTCATCGAGTCTCTCTGGAGACTGTCAAAAAACCTGTTTAGCGTCTCTGAACGAGAGACTCTAGTCGCTCATAAAGAGATCCTCATTTCGTATCCAGTCTCTGAACGAGAGACTCGAATCTGTGAACGAGAGACTCGAATCTCTCAATAAGTGGTGTCTCGATAGACATGGTTAAAATTTTCTAATTTTCAACATATTTCAGAGATTCCAGTCTTTCTACGAGAGACTCGAGTCTCTCAATTTTTCAGTTTTATTCATTCAGTCTCTCTGTGAGAGACTCGAATCTCTGAATTAACAATTTTATCGTTCGAGTCTCTCATACAGAGACTGTGAGAGATCCATAAAAACACTTAGGCAATAACTGAAAGACTGTGAAAGACTGTGAGAATCGGTCTCAGAGACGCTGAAAGACTCTGAGAGACTGGAGAGAGACTGGAAATTTTTGTTTAGGGCTATTACTGAATATTGGCATTAATTAGTATTTACTTTCAACTAGAGCAAGTCTAAGTATGGATAATATTTAATTAATAATTTTGGCTAAATGACAAAATCGTGGATAGTTAGTCAAACATTTTCAGAAAGTCGTATTATC